AATCCCCAATCCTTTTCTAAATTGTTTTGAATTAATCTTGCCTGTATATCACCCTGAGATATTGTATACTGGATGGCGCAGAGAGAGAAACGCAAATTTATTCAGCAGAAACCGTTCATTCTAAAAAGAATGAGAAATTAACCTCCAGTATCATAATGATTTTATACACGTTTACTGTGTGACCACAGATGCAATCCAGTGTATAGTTTTGTTACATTTCCACAGAATATAATGAGTAATTTTCTCATGATTATCAGGTAGAATATTTGGAATGTTTTAGTTTAAAAATAATCAAGATGCCACATGACAGGGATTTATACAGTTCAAGATACTAGGTTTTCTCCCTCTGTTAAAAAACACTTGCTTTCTGTATGTGTCTTCAAGTTGCCTTTCAGCTTATGGAAACTCCATTAATTTTATAGTGTTTTCTTATGCACAGATTATTCAGAGGGGTTTGCCAAGGTCACGTTCTGAAATATAGCCTATAGCACCTGGTTTGTCATTGATGACCCCCAACCAAATACTAACCAGGCCTGATCCTATTTAGTGTACAAGATTAAATGGAATCTAGGGCTGGTGGCACAGCGGGTTAAACCGCTGAGCTGCTAAACTTGCTGAATGCAAGAAGTGGGGTGAGCTCCTGTTGTTAGCCCCAGCTTCTGCCAACCTAGCAGTTCGAAAACATGCAAATGTGAGTAGATCAATAGGTACCGCTTCTGTGGGAAGGTAACGGTGCTCAATGCAGTAATGCCGGCCACATGACCTTGGAGGTGTTGATGAGGAGATATTGGGAAAATATAGATATTTATTGATTGATCTATGCATAAAATCATATGTATCTTACAAGCACTGAAATGCATAGGAAAATCTCTCTGTGTGTGTAAGAAACCCTAGCTGAAAAGCAAGCTGTGTCCAGCATACTATCTAAACATTCCAGAAGAGAGATAAGACACAGGCTGGTACGAGAAGTCTTCCCTCTAAGTAAGAAGCCTCTTGACATCTCAAAGTGGTCTTGATTAATGACTGTAAGCACCGCCAAGAGGGAGGGGGAACATTTCCATGCCTGCTCTGGCTTCAGCTAGGCAGAGACATGCCTTTTGCATGTTGGAGGTTGGAACCTGATATTCTTATGATGCCAGGATGACGTAGGGATGATGATGATTGTATGAAGATGTATGTTCTTTGTTTCATTCCGATTGGAGACTATAAAAGGCCAGTCCGCACCTTGATCGGGGCTCTGGGTTTTGCTTTTGGGACATGAGTCCACACCAGAGTCGCCAGCTGGAAATAAAGTCGTTCTTTTCTGATCTCCAGAAAGGATGTCTCTTGGTAATTATCTCTCCTTTCCTCAAAACCTATTTCCGTGCCATTTCAGTGTCTACGGACAACGCTTGCTCTTCAGCGTCAGACATGACTAGACAATGTCAGGGAAAACCTTTACCTAAAGCAGACATCCAATTAAACCTTTAAATATCTATTAATTAAAGTACAGTGAAATATTTTGCCACCAATCTTGTTATGTGCCTTCTAGTAAAGTCTGACTTATTTATTTATTCATTCATTTATTTACTACATTTATATGCCACCCTTCTCACCCCGAAGGGGACTCAGAGCAGCTTACAAGATATAAATAAATAAATAAATAAATAAAATTGTTTCATAGTTGTGCGCTATTTTCTTTGGACTTCAATCTGGTCTTGATGTAAATACAATTAAGACACAAGGAGTCGTTCAATAGGTGTTGCTATGGCTTATGTTTTGTTTATCAGAGGGTTTTTCATGGAATTATGTTTTCAAAAGAAGTGTATGATTACTTTTCATTAAGGCTGAGAGAGTATGACTTGCCTCAAGATCATCCAAGTGGACTCCCACAGTTATACAGAAATTCATACCTGTTTCTCCCAGAGTCCTTGGACATATCTATATGGATAGTGGAGAATCAGCCCCATGACATCCACATGCCGCGTGGCCCCTTCTTGACCCCAACATGGGACAAGACCACTAAGCACAGTTGGAGAATACAATCACAAACACATTTTATAATCCCATCTTTAACATAAATGTACTGTATCAATATACCTACAAGGCTCTTAAAACTCTGCACTCCACTCAGAACTGCCATTATTATCCAATGACAATTACGGGCTTTGTCTCGTCTGTACACACACTGACCTTTTTCCCATCGCTGGTAGATCTTGAATTGTCACAATTTTGTCAAATTTTCTGGAATTATAGCTACAATATTGTGATATTGTGTGGTGCAGGAGGAAGTCCATGGGAGTGACACCATGAGTTTCACTGCTTCATATTCTGGGGGTCCTGACACCAAATGGGGTCTCCTTTGCTCAGTGTTAGGATCATGAGAAATTTGGCAACAGTGAGAGGTTTCTGAATGCCAACCATTTACAACAATCTGTGAGCAACAACACGCACTTGTTATAGTGAACTCTACAGAAAATGCTTTAGCTGTGCTCTACAAAAAGATAAAACCAATCTGTTTAGTAAACCTTGCAAATGTTGATTTGTTTTCAGTAAATGTTTGATTTTTATACCCATTTTATATATTTATATGCCTGGGGTCACATAAAAAATTCTCAGGCCAAAAGGGGTCATGAGTGGAAACAGTTTGAAGCTGGATCTGCACTGCTATATAATCAAGTTCAAAGCAGACCATCTGATTCAGAAACTGGGTTATATGGCAGTGTTGATGGAGCCTAAGAAGCTCAGCACTTGGTGACACCAACACATAGAATATCACTGTCTGAAACCTATACTCCAAGGGTCAACAAACTAAGGCCCGCGGGCCAGATGCAGCCTCCAAGATCATTAACTTTGCCCACATTTAGGGTCGCCCTAAGTCTGAAGTGACTTGAAGGCAGCAACAACTATCCTAACTAACTTGATTATCTCATCAACCAAAAGCAGGTCCACACTTCCCATTGAAATACTGCTAAGTTTATGTAGGTTATCATTGTTCTTCATTTTAAATATTGTACTGATCTTTCATGTTTCATTTAACTGAAAATAAGATATGTGCAGTGTGCATAGGAATTTGTTCATGTTCTTTTCAAACTATAGTTTGGCCCCCCAACAGTCTGGGAGATCATGGACCAGTCCTCTGCTTAAAACCTTTGAGGACCCCTGATATAGTCCTTGGAAGCAGGGCTCTTCTTCTGATGTTCCTTTTGTACTGCTTACTTTTGAAAGCTGGTTCTACCCATATGAGCTCCTGCCTCTTCTATAGTCATACAGGTAGGTGCTGGCATTGGGAGGTGTTCACGAAACACTGCCAAATCAATATTTGCCATATGGATCCCAGCCATTTCCTGCTGTGATTGCAGGTGGGCTGCTCAATTGAAAGCACATTCTTGTCCCGCTTTTTAAAAAATCTGATTGTTAGGTTTTGTGATAATAGCTTGTTTTAAATCCATCTTTGATGGTCTTGCTTACTGATTTAAGCTGTGACTTCAAGACAATATGAACTGAAAGGAAGTTATATCTAAGATCTTATACAGTGTGTTGGGGGGGGGGGATAAAACAATTATGTTAATCAGAAATTAAAACAATTAATGAATCAATTTATCCGTGTTGTAAATTGCTCCCACACTGGGAGAAAGACAAAATTATGCAAGGTCACAGTTTCCTTTGGGTGAGGCATATATAGCAGCAATAAAGAACTATGTTCGTTAATGATTTCCAATGTAGAAAAATGTGAATGCTCAATGACATCTGCATGAGTACACTATGAATACTGGGCGTGAACGGGCGAGGCAGGCCGAAGTCACAGGCAGTTTCATTTAAACACAGAAAAGCCTAATGCTCCAGATCAACCTTTTCCACTTCCAGCTAAACATGTCTTGTGTGTATTTATGTTGCATAAAACTATTGTATAACCCAGGCATAGGCAAACTTGGTCCCTTCAGGTGTTTATTTATTTTAATATTGATTTCAAACATTTGTACCCCGTCCTTCTCAACCCCCCCCCCCCCCCCGAATCAGGGCGGCTTACATTTGGCACAATTTGATGCCATTACATATAAATAATACATACAGTAATTACATATAAGAACACAGTAAATTAATTTTAAAATTAGTTTTAAAATAAAAAGTATATTAATAAAAAGTTCAATAGTACTGGCTGTCTAGCCTTATGTAGAAACAAATTCAGCAAGCACAACAGTTTTTTGGGCTTCAACTCCCACAATTCCTAACAAGTCCAAAACACCTGGAGGGCCCAAGTTTGCCCATGTGTGGGTTATACAATAGTTGTATGCAGCATAAATGCCTGGGGAGACACATCCCTTATTTAACCATCCAGCTTTGTGTGTGTGTGTGTCTGCCAGGAGCAACTTGAGGAATTGCAAGTCGCTTCTGGTGTGAGAGAATTGGTCGTCTGCAAGGACGTTGCCAGGGGCTTGCTCCACAGTCACATCAAGTAGAATATTCTTCTAGGTAGTGCCATTAGTCAGGTTGTCTTTTGGTCTGCCCACTCAACTGAATCTGTTCAAGAACTTCCAAGTTGCCCGTTCTTGGTTTGCCCCTGGAGGAAGACCCTCGTAGGGGACTATCCAGTTGGAATTGCCTGATTTTAATGCCCACGGGAATATTCTTGCTGTTGCTGAAGGCACATTAAGAGGAGTGGTTGTATATATATAAATATATAAAAATGATATTTATATAGATTATTATATATAATAACCATATAGCGGGTGGCTTTCAGTGTTCAACCTTATTTCTCTCGCAATTGGGAATGGTGGGACTCCAACTCCCACCATCCCCAACAGCCTCAGCCCTTCCCTGTCTCCCTCCCAGTCCCCCCTCCTTCCTCTGAACCGAAAAGAACGGGCGCTCAGCTTGCCAAGGCCCGCCAATCGGAAGCTGCTACGTCACCGTGAGGGGCGGAGACAGAGCACAACTGCCATGCACGGGGACGTCTCCGCCCCCCAAGGTGACGTTACGGCCTCGGATTGGCCGGCTTCCCCGGCTGAGCTTCCGGTGCGATAGAGCGGCGCAGCGACGGGCGGAGGGTTGGTTGGTTTCTAAGGCTGCCGCCGCCGCCGCCTCTCTTCCTCTCGCCGTCCGAGCCGGCAAAATGGTGCGCGGGCCTGAGAAGCTGGCTGGGCCGCCACGAGCCAACGGCTGCAGCCTCCCCGGCCATAAGAACGGCTTCGTCCGCAGCGCCCCCGAGCCCCACAGCCAGGTGAGTGAGGCAGGCGCTGCCAGGAAACCCCGCCGGCCGCGCCCCTGAGGGAAGGCCTGCTTTTCCGGCCCGCTCCCCTCTTTCCCTGAGGCGGCGCCTTCCGGAGGCAGAGGAGAGGACCGGGTGGCAACCCTGCGCTCCTTCCTTCCTTCCTTCCTCCTCTCAGAACCATATTGGAGGGAGAGGCCTCAAGGAGCCTCCAGGCCATCCCCATGATTTCCCCTCAGAAGACATTTGGGTTTTGGAAGGATTTCTTTCAGGATGAGGAGTAAAGTGTACAAAATAGGTTAGACTCACGGAAAATTCAGTCTCAACTCCATTTCCTCCTAAAACCTTGAATTAGGGAATGATGGAGAGAAGTTGTTTTCAGTACGCTTAAGCGGCTGAGGGTGAAAAAGAAAGGGCCTGAGGCTGTTGGGAATGGTGGGAGTTGGAGTCCAAAACACCTGGAGGACCCAAGTTGACCCATGCCTGCATTAGACACATAGAGCTATCCAGTCCAATCCCATTTCCTTCGCAAAACTTTATATTCTTCCCCTCAGAGAAATTCAGGAAATATTCAATTGTATTATGAAATAATGTATTTTGAATATACTTGGCAGGATGGGGTTGGACTGGATGGCCCACGAGGTCTCTTTCTTTCCTATGATTCTATGACATGGTTCTTGACTTGGTTCCCCAGGTGTTTTGGCCTACAACTCCCAGAAATCCCAGCCAGCTTACCAGCAGTTCTGGGAGTTGAAGGCCAAAACATCTGGGCACCACAGGTCGAGAACTACTGTCATAGAATCATAGGGTTGGAAAAGACCTCCTGGGCCATCCAGTCCTACCCCATTCTGCCAAGAATATTCAAAATACATTATTTCATAATACAATTGAATATTTCCTGAATTTCTCTGAGGGGAAAATATAAAGTTTTGGGAAGGATATGCGGTCATCCCAGCCATCCAGTCCGACCCCATTCTGCCAAGAAGCAGGAAAATTGCAGTTCTGGGTGTTGAAGGCCAAAACATCTGGGGACCCACAGGTCAAGAACTACTGTCATAGAATCATAGGGTTGGAAGAGACCTCCTGGGCCATCTAGTCCAACCCCATTCTGCCAAGAAGCAGGAAAATCATATCCAAAGCACCCCCAAGAGATGGCCATCCAGCCTGTGTTTAAAAGCCTCTGTAGGAGGAGCCCCCACTACACTCCCGAGGCAGAGAGTTCCACTGCTGAATGGCTCTCGCAGTCAGGAAGTTCTTACTAATGTTCAGGTGAAATCTCCTTTCCTGTAGTTTGAAGGCATTTCTCCGCATCCTAGTCTCCAGGGCCGCAGAAAACAAGCTTGCTCCGTCCTCCCTATGACTTCCCCTCACATAGTTATGCATGGCTGTGTCTTCTCTCAGCCTTCTCTTCTTCAGTCTAAACATGCCCGGCTCTTTAAGCCACTCCTCATAGGGCTTTTTCTCCAGACCCTTGATCATTTTATTTACCCTCCTCTGGACACATTCCAGCTTGTCAACATCTCCCTTCAATTGTGGTGCCTAGAATTGGACACAGTATGACTCCAAGTGTGGTCTGACCAAGGCGGGGGGGGGGGGGGGGGGGGTAGAATGACTTTCCTAGATCTAGAGACTAGACTCTTATTTATGCAAACCAAAATCCCATTGGCTTTTTTTGCCACTGCATGACATTGTTGGCTCATGTTTCACTTGTCCATGAGGACTCCCAAGATCTTTTTCATACGTACTGCTGTCCAGCCAGGCGTCCCCTATTGTGTATCTTTGTATTTCATTTCTTCTGCCTAAGTGGAGTATCTTGCCTTTGTCCTTGTTGAACTTCATTTTGTTAGTTTTGACACATCTCGCTAATCTGTTAAGATCATTTTGAATTCTGCTCCTATCTTCTTGGGTATTAGCTATCCCTCCCAATTTGATGTCATGCTTTCTAACCCAGGCATGGGCAAACTTGGGCCCTCCAGGTGTTTTGGACTTCAACTCCTGCAATACCTAACAGACTTCCAGCTATTAGAAATTGTGGGAGTTGAAGTCCAAAAGACTTGGAGGGCTGAAGTTTGTTCATGCCAGTACTCACCCTTTATCTAAGTCATTAATAAAGATGTTGAACAGATCGGGGCTCAGGACAGAACCCTGCAGCACTCGACTTGTCATTTCTTTCCATGATGGATCAGATGTTTTTATCAAGAGACTTACTGAAAAAAAGGACTGCGAAGAACCTTCCATTAATAATAATAATAATAATAATAATAATAATAATAATAATAACAACAACTTTATTTATATTCCACCTTATCTCCCCTGGGGGACTCAGGGCGGATTCCAACAAACAAAAAGGGACACATTCAATGCCTCAATAATAGTAAATACAAATATAAAAACCCAAGATAACCCTACATAAAGAGCAACTTAAGCATAACAACTATAATTTGAATAAAACATACTCAATTAAAATTATAACTAACATAGAACTTAAAAATAAAACATCCAAATTAATATATCAAAACAACACAAAGGTTCACAAATGTGTACATAGATTGTATGGCCAAAGTTGGTAAGTGGGCTAATGTGATCTAACAAGGCCCAAGTGCATTCATACTATCCAGTCAGCAGTCTGGCAGTAGTTTCTCTTCATCTGATCCTCTTCCTCTCTAAAGATAGGTTTTAAACTGTTTTTTGAAGGACCCCATTTACGTCCCGAATCTTTATTTTGTAATGATGAATAAGATGTTTAAAATAGGTTTGAGGAGCCAACAAGAGGCATCCAGTCCATCCCCATTTCCCTCCTAAAATCTTAATTTTATAGAAAAAAATTGAATTATTTCAGAATGAGGGATGTTGGAAACGATGTTTGAACTAAAGTCTAACCCCATTCATCTCCTAAAACATTAATTTGCTGGAAAGAACATTGAATTATGGAACATTTTCTTTCAAAAAATGAGTGTAATGGTTAAAATAACTTAGAATCACGGAAAAATAGACTGCAAGGGCCTCCAGTCCAACCCCATATCCCTCCCAAAATCTTAATTTTGTAGAAAGATGAAGAAAACTAAATTATAAAATAATGTATTTCAAAATGGTGAATAAGATGTTTAAGAAGTTGGAAAAGACTACAAATGGCATCCAGTCTACTCCCTTTTTCCTAGAAAAAAAAATGTTGGGATATGGGGGGAAATAGAATAAGTTCGAATCACAGAAGTATATGCAGTTTGACACTAATGCAGTTTGACACTACTTGCAGTGCCATAGCTTGATGCCATAGAATTCTGGGAGTTGTAGTTTGGTGAGGCATAAAAGATTAAAGACATTGTGAAAATGTAAGTTTCAGGATTCTATCGCATTTAGCCATTGCAGTTAAAGTGGGGGCCAAAATCATATTAGTGGAAGAGACCACAAGGGTCTTCCAGTCCCACCCCATTTTCCCACCTTATTTTCCCCAGAAATATTAAAGAATTTTTTACCAGAATGAATATAGTGTTTAAAATAAGTTAATATCACAAAAGCATAGAGTTGTAAGAGACTGCCATGGACATCTAGTCCCAATCCTATTTCCCTCCTTCCAAGAACCTTATTATTCCAGAGAAATTGACAAATATTGAAAAACGTCTTTCAAAATGTTTAAGATATTTAAGGTAATTTGAAATTGTAGTGTTAGAAGATGCCCCAGGGGCCATCTAGTCCATCCTCCTACCATGCAGGAACGCACAATCAAAGCACCTGCTTAAAAACCTCAAAAGAAAGAAACTACACTGCACTCCAAGGAGCCAGCATATTCCACTGTCAAACATCTCTTACCATCAGGAACTTCTTCCTATTGTTGAGTGGAATATCTGTTTATGCAATATGAATCCATTACTTCCTGTCAGTGTAGTAACATAGATTTGTAGCACTTTGACACCACTTTAATTGCCAGGCTCAATGCTATAGAATTCTGGGAGATGTAGTTTGCTGTGGACCCAGAGCTGTCTCATAGACTTAATATCCCTCAAAACTATATCCCTAGTTTCTGGAGCAGCAGAAAACAAGCTTACTCCCTCAATATGGCAACCTTTCAGATATTTAAACATGATTATCATGTCCTCTCTTAACCTCTTCTCTAAGTTAAACACGCCCAGATCCCTAAGCTGCTCCTCATAGGGCATAGATCCCAGATCTTTTACAGTTGTTTTTCTCCGGTCACGTTCCATTTTGTCAACATCATTCTTGAACTGTGGTGTCCAGAACTGGGCACAGGATTCCTGGTGAGGTCTGACCAGAGTAGAACAGAGTGGGATATTGCTATACTTCTGTTGCTACAGGTTAGAATTGCATAGGTTTATCTGCAGAATCATACTGTTCTTCTTTTACGGGTGAGGGTCTAGAAACTAACATGAGTGTTTTTGGCCTTTTCACTATGTCCGAGGAATAGTAGTGAAAAATGAAGTTCCGGGGGACAATCTGGTATTTGTCCCACTGATTTACCAGCCTTGTTCTCCACATTTCAAGAAGCAAATGGAAACAGAGGATACTTCTTTTCAACAAATCACTAGTAGTCATATTTGTAACTTTAAAGAAGGGCAGACACAAAGTCACTAGAATTGTCATGTTCTCCAAGCTATGTATTCTAATCAGTGAAATAAGAAGAATGGAGGTGGGGACAGGTTGCTGTTGTTGTCAGGGTGCATCTTCATTGCAGAATTAATGTAGTTGACACCAATTTAACTGCTACAGGTTATGTTATGGAATCCTGGGATCCTAAAACAACAGCATTCTTTTGCAGAAAAGGCTGAAGACCTTGTAAAATTACAACTCCCGTGACTTCATAGCATTGAACCATGGCAGTTAAGGTGACATCAAATCGCATTAATTCTACACTGTAGATGCACCCTCAGTTGTGGAAATGGGAAGTAAGAAATACTGATAAAACATACTCTCATCTTGACAAAGTTTAAGTAGGATTAATTAAATGTGGTTTCAGTTATATGTGAAGAGATTTGAATACCATAGATTTCAGTTGGAGT